CCCCCTTTTTTTTTTTTTTTTAAGTAGTGATGACATTTAAGCTGCAGTGATACTAGTTTAGATGGACTTCAGTTCCTGGGGTGAACGCTTGTATGACTAGTCTTCACTTAGCTTATCAACAACAGCATGGGATTTACAGTGAGCAAGGGTTTAGTTCATGTGGATGAGCAGCAGTTAAAACTTTTCATACTTCTATTTACCTAACATCTGTACAGCTGCAAATTAAGAGTACTAAGAAGTTACTACTGCCAGTTTAAATACTTTGAAGTTTCATATGAAATACTCTTGTGCTTGATAATTTAAATATAAAATCATAGAACAATAGGTACGTGAAGGATTTACTGTATTTATTCTGTATTATAATGAGATGTAAAAACTGATAGACGGTCATGGCATACAAGTAACATGAATCATTGAATCATTTAGGTTGGAAAAGACCTTTAAGATCATCCAGTCCAACCATTAACCTAACACTACCAAGTCCACACTAAACCAATTAAGGGTAGAGTAGCAATTTCAGAATGTAACATTCATTTTTAAAAATACAACAACAGGGCGAAGTTCTGTAATTACAACCTTTCATGTTGTAATTCAAATGGCATTAAAATCCATTACATCACACATTTTCTTGTTTCATCCTTTTGATTGAAGTTTTATGTACTAGACTAGCCCAGACTATTCTTCCTGTTCCTGAAGTGTTTCATACAGCTGGAGTAGAAATACATAAAAATAGATATTTTGCAAATTGCTGCTTGTTTTGTACTACTTTGAAAAGGAGTTTAAAGGTGGTGTTGGAACTTAATGATATCATCGTATTATGTTCAAAGGGCCTTACAGACATTGGTATTGATTTATTAAATAAGCTTCTCTTATTGCTGATTTAAGTTACTAGGATATGATGTAAAACATAAGTGGTAGTATTATTATAATCTGATATGCATTTGACTATCATACACAAATAATAATGTATGTTCACTAAATATTTGCAGGATCTGGTTTCTTTGTGCAATTTCCATAACTACGATAATTTGAGACACTTTGCAAAAAAGCTTGATCCTCGCAGAGAAGGTGGTGATCAGCGGGTAAGTTAACGTGTATTTAGTGTATTCCTTGTAGGCATCAGAAGAAAAACAGGAAGTTCTTCTCTAAATGCAAAACTGCTCAATGACATGTATTGCATCAAAGCTTTCAGATAAACTAGTTAGTTCACATTATTAGTGGACACTTACCTGTATACATTATTAGTGGACACTTCCCTGGGTGGACAATGCTATCACAGGGTTTTGTGTAGTAGAATTTCATATTAGATTTGTAACTCCATTTCATGCAGTTCATCTCCCTTGCTACAGTAAGTATGTGGTATCTGATAATTGCAAAGCGTTTAACTGTACTGGTTGCCTTAATAAAGATTTGACCAGCTGGTGGGCTTAGCCTTTCTGTCCTGTGCTGCAATGCATGAGATGTATGTTCAGCATTTTTTCAGTGATATGTCTGAGACCACATGACTTGCTGAGAGTTGCACAGGCAGTGAATTCAGGTGTTACAGTGATGTAGACAAGTGCCTGTTACTAAGGAAGTGGTATAAGCAATCTCTGGGAGTGAACTGAATCCACTCCAGCTACATGTACAAAAGATAAAAGTGTGAGGGTGCTTGAGATAAGGAAAAAGTCTTTGCTTTTATTACTATTGATGTTTTAACTAAGGCATGAAGATTTCAATAGGAGAAGATACAGTAGAATGATTTTTAAAGTGCTTCTATTTGCATGTATACGTCTAAAAAATACCCGATTTGGAATTTGAAATTTTTGTAACTGGAAAAGAGAAAATAACCGTTTATGTGAAGAGGTGAAAAACATGGGTCTATTAGCATTGACTGCAAGTATGGATTTTTTTCATTCAAATACACTAATAAATAATGTATGTTGCTTGAACAACTAGCATTCCTTTGGACCAATGGACTATGAGAATCTCCAGCAAGAACTTGCTTTAAAAGAAACAGTATGGAAAAAAGTGTCACCTGAATCAAACGAGGACATCTCCAGAACCGTAGTGTATAGAATGGAAGGTCGGGGAGAGCAAAACTAAACAAATGGGTTCTAGCTTCATTAAACTCTTCATTTTAAAAACCCTCAAGCATCTCCAGATTTAACTTTGATTTGAATATTGTTTGCCTGGTGTTTCATTTATATATATACATTTTGTGTACATTCTGTATGCTATACCAAAAAGACTGTCAAAGTTCAAGGGGGGGAAAAAAGCACATGCAAACAACAAAAACCAAAACTGTTAACTGACTTTTGTAGTTACAAAAGACATTTACTTTTTTAAAAAAAAAAAAAAAGGTAAATCTGAATGTTTTGAAAGATATACCACTTTTGTGTATATCTGTCTATTTTTGTTTATATCTGAGAATTTTAAGTAAATTAACTTTAGAGCTAAGCAAGAACTTACGATGTGTCATCTGATCAGGGTCAGCATGTAAAGACAAAAGAATTTTAATTAAATACAAAGTAAAATAGTGTCAGCAAAATACAGCAAATCCATGAATCTCTAAATAATTGTATATTAAGTGGAGATAGGTTCTGAGTCATGTTATTATTCTCTTTTTTTTAATATGAGCTTTCAAATTGCTTTGAACAGAAATGGATCCTTTGGATATGCCGTGCTAGTGAATTCTTTTTCTTTTTTTTGATCAGACCTTTAATAATTATTAATGCTAACATTTAAATAAAAAGAGCAAAAATGGCTGGGGAGGACTGGGAGAAGCGGGGGGGGAAAAAACCCTGCCTGTTTGCAAGTTAACTAATGCAGCAGAAAGATTTCTTACCAAACTGTTTTGAGTGTCTTTGCTAGCTGCTTGTACTGCCAGCTGGTAGTTATGACTCAGAAGTCTGCCTTACTAATAATGCTGTGCTCCACCCTAGAGAGGAATGTAAGCAATCTTGGTTTTAGAGTGGTAACCAACCGAGTAGTGAGCAGGAAATATGTTCAGAGCAAAGCAGATAGGTAGATATTATTAAAACTGTTTACAAATAACTTATTTTTCAACTGCAAATGTGTGTGCATGTTCATATATAAGATCAGAGGTTTCATTTACTTACATGTGAGCAAATTTTTTAAAAGTTATCGTTAAATTGCTACTTAAAATGATAGTGAGTTTGCACCTCTGCCAGCTTGCTAAGAAACGGGACTTGCATTCTTCTACAGGCAATCGCATCTGTTCATCTGCAGAATTTGATAATTTTGAGTATCTGGAGTAGAGTGTATCTCGAAATGGTGTATGTAAGCTTCGAATAGGCTCAGTGGGCAGTGCTGGACAGAGGGCATAGACTTGCTAAATTCTTGACACTTGTAGCTATTACATTCTTAATGGTGCTAAAAATCTCCGAAAATTGTTCTCTATTTTTAGAAAGTTTTCCCCTTTAAAAGCTTGCAGATCATTTGACATATCCTGCCCCCTGTACACATCACGCAGAATCCTGTTTATAAAACTGTTGAAAACTTGTCCAAGTAATGATGAACGGTATTATGTCGTTGAGTATTTTGAGACAATGCCAGATAATTCCTTAGTAACACCTTCACCCCTTCTGCCTGCCCCCTCCCCCAGTCCCTCTCTTTAGTTTATCTGAAACTCCAAAGTGCATTCATATGTGAGTTTTGTATAAGGGGAGAGTTAGGTTTTTCCTGCCCCTTTTCAGACCCATCTAGATGTTTGTGAATTCAGGAAGATGCATAAAGCGAAGCTGATGCTCTTTGAGAAAGCAAGCTGTTCTTAATTACTCTGTTTAGGTATTGTTAGTTTTGCATAAACATTTGATATAAGCTCTGACTAAACTCCGAATAATCTTCATCTAGCGGTGTGTTGTAAAAGGATGGGCTTCCTGTCTTTGAAGTCTAGGATTAAAATGTTTAAGCAAAACAATACAGCACATCAATTTTCAGTGAATTTGAAGTCCTACTGGGATGACGAGGTAAATATGTGGTGCACATGTCAGTAACAAATGTCAGTCGTAAACTGCTGAATAATAGCTGTTCTACAATCTTATCACTGATGATAAGGTTTGGTTTGTCAGTGCCTATCTTGAAAATAAAGTAAAATAAGTAAAGGCGAAGTCTTGAATTATAAAAATGTCTCACCTGTTCGGGGATTTTACCGTAAACTGGTAGTTCCAGAGACATAGCAAGTATTCAGATCCTGCAAAACTATGTGTCTTTACCTGAAAGGCCCTCAGTTGCAAGAGGGAACATAAGGTGTCTGTGCTGCTAATGAAAAGTATTTACAGTGATGACATGTTGCCTGTTAAATTACTGATTTAATTAAAAAAGGAAAATGTATGATGCAGGATTTGCTTGATCTAATTCTACACACATTATTTTCTGATTTTTAGTACTATTTGAAGCTACTTCTAAAAACATGGTTCAAGATGGAAAATTGTTCCATCTGGGTTTCAACTTGAAAATAAAAATCCTGACCATAGTTATGTTTGTCAGTTACATACAAAAGTTATGGTAGAGGCAAGTCCTGCATGGGAAATACAAAATTAAGGAAACTACTAGATCTGTAATATGCATAATAAGAATATTTAGGGTACAGCTTACACAATCGTGACTTTAGATTCTATATATTACAGTTCTGTAATATATGCTTTTGAAGCCTGTCTCAACTTAAGGCAGCCTCTAGTTAGGAGGGGTCAGGAGGAGACTTCTTGGACCAGTTGTTTTGTAACTTGCCTACGCTCACAGTTTCTTCTTCTGGCCTGCCATGTCTGCAGATGGCTCCTGTTTGTGGCAGGGTACACGGATCGCTGGGACCGTAGTTAGGTCTGCCATGACGACTTACCCATGCCTGCATTATGTTTGGTGAGCGGGTCTGAGAGAATGGGGTGATAGAGGCTAGTCATTGAATGTTTGAAGTCTGCAACCGTTTTAGTGTTCACCTGTGCTACAGTAATAGCAATTCTTGATATTCAAGCATTTTAGCTGTTTGTTTGTTTTTCTTTGTCAGCATCATTAACATTTCATTAGAAATGTAAATGCTTTTTAAAATTTTATTTTAGCGTTTGTGTTGTACTTTTTGGCTCAGTTGTTAAGTTACCTGTCTCGTTTTCCATTTTTCATTTGCATTGTATGTTATTTATGTATCTCGATTTCCAGCATGCTTATTTTTGTATTGTTTAATAAATTTATTTTAAGCTGATTTTTATTGTATTTTTTTTCTCTCAATGGAGAACAGATTTGTTCGAACACATTTTTGAGACTGCAGTGAGATAGTGAGCACTCCATTCTAAAAAAGATAAAATTCTGGAAAAGTAGGTGCAGTAAGCAGATTTGGTTAAACCACTCACTGAAAACCTTCCTGAGATTTCTTAAACACTTTGTACAATGATCTAATTATTTTTCTCTTTGAACTGTTATCTTAGAAAGTTGAAAGCAAAAATCAAAGTCGGGAAACTTTCTCACCGTGACTTGTCTAATAAAAATGTCATGGTGCAGTAGGATATTAACGTCACTGTGTATTTGTGTGGTTTTGAAGATACTAATTCAGTCACTTGGAAAACATGTGGTTAATGGTACCGGTGCCAGGGTAGTAACCGTTTATCTTGAGCATTATGAAGTGAAAAATATATCTTGTAATAAATCAGGCATAGCAAGGAAGGTGGTCCAAAAACCACATCCTCATAGTAGCAGCAGTGGGGTCTGAACAACGGTTAGTTGACTCTGGGTTCCTGGCAAAGCACTTGCCCTTTGTCACAGGCTTATTTTTTTTTCCATGAAAATTTATTTGCGATACTAAATAGTAGATGTATTCATAATGTGATGATTCCGAGGCAAGATTTTGTCACTAGAGACATGCCCATACTGAGGATGGCTGTAGTTACTAATTTAGCTTTTCTGTAGATTGATTTATAAACTGCAGTTACTTGTACTATGTTTTTAAAATTAACTGTATGTTCATTGTACATAAAATAACACATATCAAAAGAGTTTATTCTCCAAAATTCACAGAGACGAGGAAGGGTAGAAGAGTGGTAGATACAAAGAGAGAACTACAGGTGATTTACTGTAGAATTATTTTGGCTCTTACGTTTTGGTTTTTATTGAGCATTTGTGTCAAAAGACCGGTGGGTCGGTAAATGAATAAAAAGGCAACGGAGTCAGAAGGAGGGTGGGTGGGAGAGGGGATGGAGTATGTTGGTTTTTCATTGTTCTTTCTTCTCTTGGTCTTGATACATACATGTCATTGATGCACAGTAGTTAGCTGGGAGCAAAGTAGTTAATTATGAGCTTCATAATTTACATATAATGTTTTAGTATCCTAAAACATTTTATAGTTTGTAGGCTTTTAGTATTTTATTTTTTTAATTTTGTTTAAATACTTCTGTAGTTTTCTGGTGGGAGTTCAGAAGCGGTTATTCCAGTGAAGGAAGAATAGGCTTTTTTCAGCGGAGTTCTTACTTGGGTGACTAAATACACCAAAAAATTTGTCTTTAGTGCAGAGTCTCTTTTGAGGAATTTGAATGTCACAAATGTTTCAAGTAGTTGCAGGGATGGTAAGAGTCTTTAAATCAGGTAGCAATCTAACTAAAACTTGATTATTTTTTTTCATCATGCTAGTATCTTGTCTGTTCCACACTTCTTGTCCTGTCTAGAAAATGCATGAGTAAGTAGTGTGCATAATGACATCTTTTAAAGGATGGGTCATGCACAGCTCCATTTTCATTCAGGAATTTACGTCCTGGTATGTTGAATAGTTTGTTGCAGTCTTAATTATTAAACTACCTACTTTGAATCAAGTGTGGTTTCCAATTTACCATTTGCTCCTTCTAGAGAATATTGTGTGCAAAATAGAAATGTCCTGTTTCCTTTTGCTTTTCATGCAAGAAGAAACTGATTTCATTACTGGCTTCTAATACTGCTTTATGCAGACTTTTGAATATCACTTGAACACTTAGCATTTAAAACTTTTTGCAAGACTGAAGTGGCACAGCTCCGCACATAGTTACTTCTGAAAATGCACATGCATTTCTTCCATGCGTAGCAGGCCTTACGTAATAATGGTTACATCTGAAGCTGCAGTTTAACTA